TTAGTGGAAAATATTTGCATTTTTCTTTCTCTTGACAGTTTCCACCCGACACGGGACCTGGGTTTTGCAGGTTTTACTGTAGAGTACTCGAGGTTTCTTCCCATGGTTAGCCATCTGCCTGGCACAGCTCAGCTCTAACTCTTAGCAAGGGGTGGTGTCAGAATTACAATACAGGTGGGCTGATGCAGAACCTTGATTCAATCAGGCACCCTGTGACATTTCCCAAGTGGGAGTGACTGGAACCCGACGTGAATTAACATCAGCTCCCTTTTCCTTTCCAATCCAGCCAAGGAGAGGGCCCTTGCCAATGCTCTGGACATTTCTCCAACCTCGCTTTTGAATAAAGAACAGGCTTCAGGGTCTCCTGTTCACCATCAACAGAAGGTATCATATGGCTCCCTTCTATTTATAAGCGCAACGTGAAGTTTCCCTTTCAGTGTTTATATGTAAGATTTGTAAATAATGCACAGGTGTTAAGAGATTAAAACGACTGGGAAGGAGGTAGGCCAGTGGCTGAAATACTGCAAAAGCTCTATCATCAAGAAGATGAACATCTATAGAAATTCTCCTTCAAAATGCCAACTAAGGAAGTTAAACCTTTCACTAAGGACTTGAAAAACTTTTGTGGATGAAAACATACACCTCTCAGACCTGCGAGCTCTTCCTCCCTGACACGAAACCAATCTAGCTGGGGCACGTCTTATGCTCCAACTGCTTCTCATAGAGCTTGCAGACCCTCAGGTGGGCCCTGAATGGCCAGGATGGACAAACAGGCTCCAATTTGAAATTGAAATTAGTCATTCTGCACTGCTAAATGTGAACATGGGTAGGTTACTTAACCACCGAGCCCTGGTTTTCTCACCTGTACAATGGGTTTCTACCTACTTCCCAGCAGTCACTTGTTCATTCAACAAATACTTATTGAGGAGTTACTATGTACCAAGTGCTGGGCAGTTAAAGCAGTTAAACAGCTTCTGCCCTAGAAAGAGAGCTTGCGCTGG